TTCCCAAAAAACCCCCCCCCCCCGCACCCACCCCCCAGGAAAAAAAAAATCAGCGAATAGGAGAAGCAGTGAGTTGAGAATACGTGGGAGAACACCGTAAATTGTGTTCCAAGCTCGCTCTTGTCTTCAGCTAATAATATGATGATCATGTTTCTAGATTCTCAGTAAACCGGAGGATATTTGTGGTTGGCTTCGGCCTTTACGGCTCGATACACGGGCCGACGGACTACCAAGTCAACATTCAGGTATGATCCGGAGGCGCACTCGTTTTCACCCATGTTGTTTTTCTGTATTCGGCAATGTCTGCTGTCCTGCTTCTCTCCGCCTAGATTATTCACACGGACAGTAACACTGTGCTGGGCCAGAATGAAACGGGCTTCAGTTGCGACGGCTCAGCCAACACCTTCCGAGTCATGTTCAAAGAACCAGTGGAGATTCTCCCCAATGTTAACTACACCGCCTGTGCTACACTCAAGGCCTGTATCCAATCATTTTTTTTAACCCTTTCATGCACCCTGGATATTTTTGGTGGGGGGAGACGGTAATGTATTTGATTTTTGGGGTTATTCAAATGTTTCAAGTACAGACTGCATAGGTTTGACTATTTTCAACCAGCTTTTAAGTACGAAAATTCATTACTTTGCATGCCAGGCCAATCGTAAAAAGATGATTGTACGGTAAACTTGCCAGAAATTAGGGGTGAAGAATTTCACTTATATGGGAGAAGGTCTCAGCTAGTCTCATTAAACACTTGGCTGGAGAAGCGTTATCAAGCTCATTATCTGGGGGAGTGGAGGGGAAGGGGGGGGGGCAGACATGGAACAATAACCTGCCTCATTTTGGAATTGAGAATTTCAGTTGTGGGAGTCGCGTCTCCACCGGTCACCGTCACAGTAAACACTTGCTGCAGAATCATTATCGAGCTCATTATCTGGCGGGGCGCTGACGTGAAATCAACAGCCCCCCCGTGTTCCACTACGCGTGGATGAACGTGATGTACTTGTGCGTGCGCGTCTCTGTCCTACCAATTGGCTATTGCCACTACGCGTGGATGAACGTGATGTACTTGTGCGTCTCTGTCCTACCAATTGTCTGTTGGGGAAAAAAATGTGGCGTTCAATTACAGAATCTGAAATCGACTCCCATGACTATCTGGTAGTGGTTACTCACCCCCTCCTTCTCTCTCTCATTCCTCCCCTACAGGGCCCAGACTCTCATTACGGGACTAAGGGAATGCGAAAGATCACACACGAGTCATCAACAACCGGCACCAAGACCTGCTTCACCTTCTGCTACGCGGCGGGTAACAATAACGGCACTTCGGTCGAGGATGGACAGATTCCCGAGGTCATCTTCTACACATAGTCACCTCTGACATTTGCGGAGATGTTCCATCAAATGTGACAGCCGAGGAAGGCAGCTCCCTTGGGGGGGCTGTGTGTCAGGGTGGGGGCGGGAGAGGTCTACATCTAGGGGCTCATCTGTCATAATTCTGTTCCCTCCATACGGTGCACTTCGGTTGGTCGCATTGGAAGACAAATAGCCATGAGGCAATAGGTCACAATATTGTGTGTAGTATGTCTCTCTCTTATTCCATCTTTCCGAAACTGATGTGACTGTTCATGACTCCACAGCGCAACAAAAAGCAAAGGAAAGGGTGTACCTGCTGAAATTATGAGCAGCAAGAATATCTCCGCTGTGGTTTGCCAACCAAGAGCTTGACACCGAATGTCACCCTAAGCTAGTCAGACCAGCATTTTCACAACTACCAAGTCAGCGGGTAGCTGTCAGTTCCGCCCATCTGCGGATTTCAAAGGCGTTATTCAAAGCAAAAACTTCTTGACCTTTACAGTACCGTTCGATAAGCCAACTCGTGAGTTACTGCAGTAAAAACGGTTTGATCTTGTATCTATCTGCCGATATCCAAAAGCTCTCGCACTTTCTTGGCCTTTGCATAGTTGGTTGGTTGATCATTTTTTCAAATACCTTTGTCTTTTTTTTTTTTTCCTTTTTAATTTTGTTGTAAATATATGGGCCCGGGTCGTGGAATCGTTTCACAAACCCCGGCTGCCACAAAGTTGCTCTGTGTAAAGTCAATCAACGAGACTGAGTCCCCCGGCAGACATCAGCGCAACGAAAATATTTAAGATTCCAACTGCTTTGGTCAAACTGAAGGCTTTCGGAAATGGAATCCCTGCATCACATCAATTGAATCGAAATGAGGCATGGTCGACAATAGACTGTGAAAGTAGATTCATTGGTCATCACGGAGAAGTAAATGCATGCTCCAAATAGTACGCAAATGATCGTTGACGGCTTCGGGAAATGCATTACCGGTAAGAAGCGATAAAGCAAATAGCCTCTTTCTTGAATCAGTTCAATTATTTGCGCAAAAGGTTCTAAGTTCAGAATGAATTACTATTTCCAGAAGGCAAGTTTTTCTGTATTGAATATATAATACTGTAATATCGCTTCAAAAGTCTTTGCAAATGTTTTTTTTTTTTTAATCAGGCATTTATTAACATTCTCTTCTCTATATATACGTCTTGAAAACACTTGAATAAAGAGTGCAAAAAAATGAGTTCATTAGTCATGAATGAAGGGAACTTGAAAGAAGATACTGGTGCTTAACCGCATCATTTTAGAAACTTCCAAATAATAAAAGCCACTTCATCTGCAGTTGCATGTTTTATTCGTGAAGATCAATGGAGCGCTTGACCAATTCCGCAATGTTCTTGCTTGCAGTCACTTATTACATTATTGCAGCAGTATCACAGTGCACCTTCGAGAGCCGTTGTATCCGATGAAATGGCAAAGGTGGGGGGGAGGGGGGTGCAGAAGACTAACTCAAGGAAGTGATCATCTCACAGTTTTATTCCAATACTTCTTGGAACCTTTGGCCTAGGCACTTGGTGTGCTGTTGCTGTTAAATTAATAGGGAAGCATCATTGCTCCCAAGTGGCCTGTAACAGCACACGCAAAAGTTTTTTTTTTTTTTTGGGAAGTCGGGACTCATTGTGCAAACTTTAAAGCCGGTGCAAAGATTTTTAAAGTGCCCATAAGGTTAAAGAGGAAGTCAACCCCAAAACGTTCTTTACCAAAAACATGTTCTAGGCAGCCCCACCTGTGAAGGCGCATAGAAAATGACGGTCGAGAAATTTTGGTGGTTGACTTCCCCTTTTAAGATGAAATGATAAAAGAGTTGGACATGTATGTCGATCCAAAGTCGCTCATTACAATTTGTCCAGGTAGTTGTCCAAAGCGGGGATGCCTTCCTTGAGACCTTTACGCTTCCTAATTTCAGCAACGACTTGGAAGGGTTTGCTGGCGGGGTCTTTAGGGTCACCTTGGAGAATTTGCCAGTGATCAAACACGCATTGTGGAAAGGCTTGGCCTCCAGTGTTACTGCGCAGGTCAGCGGTGAAACCTTGAAAGAAATAATAATTCACATTTCAGCCACCCAAAATTATTTGAGGGGGCTCAATGCCTGTCCCTCGTAAATAGACGTCTACTGTGAATGTTTTGTTTTTTGAGGGGCAAAGGGGGATGGAGAGTTTTGTAATCTTGTTATGTGACTGACCACCAACAGATGTCACTGAAACTTCCTTGGGGCCATTGACGCTTTCCCTGACTAAAGCGCTTACCGAAGGATTCGTTGACGGGCAGGTAGGCTTTGACCACAAACATCGGGGTTCCGATGACTTGAGATTCCTCAAACACGTGACCTCGCTTCCTGTTCAGAACACCATAGATCCCGCCCACCACTGCTTCAGGGCACTGAATGGGGAGAAAAAACAGAAATGACAGCATCAAACACCATTTGTGGGGAAAGCCAATGAGAACATTTGTCCCGTGAAATTGTTCAGCTTCCAGTCGTGCAAGGAGATGTGAAGATTCGTCATCCGATCAGATTTCTGCCTGTTTTGTTGCCTAATCTGCGCAACGCCTTTGCACATCAGTTGCGCTGCTGGCCCCTCTAATCCTCGGAACATTAATGGGACTGTTTCCTTTGAAGAGGCAAACTTGAATTTGATTGCAGCCACACCTGAATCTCCACCAGGTACACGGGCTCCATGAGGCGAGGCTGAGCAGTGAGCTGGCAGGCGTACAGAACCCTGCGGGCCGTGGGAATGATCTGTCCTCCGCCGCGGTGGATGGCATCGGCGTGCAGCGTCACGTCGTGGATGTCGAAGCGGACCGCGCGCATGTTCTCCTCACACAGCGCACCCTGTAGAATGAGCACAACGTTGCTGTCAAACCATTTTGCTTGTGAAAAAAAACTTTTTTAAAATTTTTTTTTTATAAATTTAATTCAATGGATATCGTGTTGCATTTTGCACCCTGTAGAATGAGCACAACGTTGCTGTCAAACAAAAAAAAATTTTTTTTTATTCAATTCAATGGATATCGTGTTGCATTTCCTGGTGTCTGTGTGTGTGCCATTGCTACCTGGGAGCAGGATAATGCAGATACACAGATATAAATGGAGAACCGGTAGCAATATAACTTCGCACAGGATAGCAAATATACATGTGTGAGTATTATGTCTGTTTACGTGTGCTAGTCCACCACTGGTGTTCAAAAAAAAAAAAGAAAGAATTTGCATGTTGCAAATATTTGGGATAATGCTATACTGGAGTGTGGGGGGTGGGGAGTAGGGGACCACTGTACACACAATTAATGGATAAATTGGCTTTGCAGAAAATTCACTGATGGCCACCTCTTTAGTCGCCCACTGGAACCCAGCCACCACGCTGTCCTTAATCTCGTTGAGGTACTGGACCCCCTTTGTCACGTCGATGAGTAAGTTGGGCCCGGTTCCATCGGGACCAAAGCACCAGATCTTCCTCGCTTCGGTCACCTCCCACTCATACTTGTCGGCCAGGTAGCGAGCACGAGCCTTCAGCTCCTGACGGGCCGTGACATCTCCTTTCTCAATGTCTTCGGCCAGGCCGTCTGGGAAAGGACGAGACTTCATGAAGAGGCGATTGTGTTTGTTGGGAGACTTGGAGAGACACATCTGGTCAGATTCCTCTGTCACTGTCTCTCTGTAAGACACAACTGGGTCTGATTTCTGGGGAAAAAAAGGGGGAAAGAATGTAGATTACAATTCTAAGTGTTATACACAATATAAATAAAGCAAGTATCAATGAAAACGGCATCGTATTATCTTTATTAAGGCAGACACGGATGCGTTGGATCTCATTTGGTGATGGGTGTGGATCCCTCACCTTCAATGGAATGCAGGCATGGTCCTCCTCCAAGTCCTTCAGGCAGATCTCCAGGTGCAGCTCCCCGGCTCCTGCGATGATGTGCTCCCCAGACTCTTCGATGATGCACTGCACCATGGGGTCGGACTTGGCCAGGCGCTTCAGGCCCTCCACCAGCTTGGGTAAGTCGGCCGGGTTCTTGGCCTCCACGGCAACTCTGACAACCGGACTGACGCTGAATTTCATCACCCTCATGTTGTGGGCCTGCAGAGGCACACAGTCGCTGAGCTGAAACATGACTTTGGTTGTCAGAAATAAATAATGGGGGGGGGAAGCCAAACATGGAGGATTTTATATCTAACCTTTAAACACTCAAGACTGGTCAACCCGTCAAAACGGGATATATTTAATCAAACCAAAGCTCCATCATTTTCTCACAAGTAGGGATAAAATGTTTGGTTCTGTTACGTTGAGGAATTTAGCAAAACATAATGGCTACCTTGCTAGCTAACCTCCGTGCTACAACACGCTATCCATTTCGGTTTCAATCGCTTTGCCTCGCCCAAATGGGTGCCAGTAGGAGTTTTTTGCCATTTGGAAGTAGATGTGACCTCATGGTGAAAAGGTCGACAGAAGAAACAATTTGGATTGAACCACAAAGTACTTGTTCAAAAGTGGTGATGGTCCCTGTCTTAACCAGGAACTGGTCGACTCCAACGAGGCCTACGATGTTGCCACACGGAACATCTTCAATGGGCTCCACATATCTTCCCATCATTAGGATGGTCCTAGATAAGAACATGAACAACATATTGAGAAGGTCTTACACCATATTGAAATGTGTTTTGTTTTTTTGGCGGGGGTGGGGGGTATACATTTGCTAACCTTTGAATAGGCTTGACATAAAGATCCTCTTTCTTCCCAGGGGTGAAGTTTGGCCCCATGATGCGCACCTTCTGGCCGGTGGACACACATCCAGAAAACACGCGGCCAAATGCATAAAAGCGACCCTTGTCACTGGTTGGGACCATCTTGGAGATATACATCATCAGGGGACCTTTGGGATCACAATTCTTAACACCTGTAAAATCACAACAGGATGTCAGAATGGACTTCACATGCACGTGCTGTAAGGCAGGGGTTGCCCAAGTGCTCCTTACCGAGAGCTCCTTATTGAGCCTTTTTTAAATGTTTCAATCGTCCAACACACCCGATTCAAATGATCAGGATCATTATCATGCTTTGCAAAGTTTGCTGATGAGCTGACTTCCAAATGGTGGGATGTGTGATTTCAGTTTTCAATGACTTTTTTCATCAAACTTTTGTTGCAATTTTGGTACATCCGCTTGGTTTTTGTCCCCCCCAAAAAACAAAACAAAACAAAACCGTGTGACTCAGCAATTCATTTCCCAAAATAGTGACTCAGTCTGCCTTTGTTTTTCGATGAGTGAGCATCATCCCACTCATTCATCTAAGGCAGGGATGGGTCATTTAAATGCTTCATTTGGCATTTAGATTTATTTTACACTGGTTTCTGTTTGTAAAACATATTGTTTTTATAATATGTGTTTTTTTTTTTGTTAAAATCTTTGAGGTGTCTGGAACGCATTAATTTATTTTTATTTATTTCCAAAGGGAAATGTCACTTTGGTTTTCGTGCATTTAGATTTCAGTCAGACTTACATGTGCAACGCACTATAAAGTGCCACTGTAGTTGAATCAGTACTTCGACATACTTTTGACACAGTTTTTTTTTTTTTTTTAAACTTCTAGTTAAGCACAGTGAGTATTTTGTCCACGTTTGATGAGTCGCAATCTCCAACTGACCCATGGCAGCTTCATCATCTCCCGGGCCCTCGTAGAGCAGCTCACAGCGGTATTTCTGAGCGGTGACAGGTGAGGGCAGGTGGATGGTGATCATCTGGAGCAGGGCCTCTCCGGCAGGCAGCCAGCGACGCATCACTGCCTTCAGCAGAGGCTTCCCTTCCTTTTCTTTGTCCTCCGAATCCAGCTTGATGTCCAGCTTCTCAATGAGTTTGGCCGTCTCATCCTTCTTAAAATTCATGATGGCGTCAAACACCTGGATGGAGGCAATTGCAGACGTGGTATCAATGGGAATTCTTCAGTCCCTTATTTGAATGAGGCCTTTGTGAGGCATTCAGAGAGCAGCTTTTCACCTTAAAGATTGGGTCCAAAACGAACTGGCAAAAAGAGCGAGGATATTTCTGGCCGTCAGCACCTATAGCAGTCTTGGTGAACTTGCCGGTGCTTGGATCAACATATCTGCAAGTAGCACGTGAATTATTAAATATAGCGGTGGCTCGAGAACTCATCCACTCATTCATCCATTTTTTTGTATCG